TTGGGCCTTGCGCCAGTGCTGTTTGGACCCTTAGGGGCTGTTTCTTACTATCCTCCTATTGTTTTCGATTGAAAATCTATACTCAGTCATGTTTATACTTATTTACTGCATAACTCAGTTTTGTGACTCTACTTGGATGCATATAAATGTTTTGGGCCGAATGCCCTGTTTTACTGAAATGCCCGAGTGGCTTGAGAGGTTTATGACTGAGTGAGGCTGAGGTCCTGATTTGTGAGGATGATTGTGGATCGGGGCTGCCCGCCTGCATCATACTTTATTATTATAGCACGTGAGTTATCCGTACAGCACATGAGTTGTCCGTGCAAATTATAGCGCTTAGGCTGAAGGAGCCCCTCTAGTGTCTGTACACAGCCCCAGTGAGCGCAGGTACCTACTGAGTGCGAGTGCCGAGTGCCGAGTGCTGAATGGCTGGGAGGCATGAGTGATTGTGAGGTATGTCCGAGTGGCAAGAGTGATGGTGAGGTATGCCCGAGTGGCACGAGTGACCATGAGGTTTGCCTAAGGAGCTGTATATGAGTGATGTTTTTCCCAAGGGGCTGTTTATATTTTTCAACAGTTTTCAGACAGAGGAAAAATGCAAAGGTGAGCAAAAATGATGAAAACATAAACAGCCCCTCGGGCAAACCTCACAGTCACTCGTGCCACTCGGGCATACCTCACAATCACTCTTGCCACTCGGGCATACCTCACAATCACTCATGCCTCTCGGTCACTCAGCACTCGGCACTCGCACTCAGTAGGTACCTGCGCTCACTGGGGGTGTGTACAGACTCCGGAGGGGCTCCTTCAGCCCAAGCGCTATAATCTGCACGGACAACTCACGTGCGATAATAATAAAGTATGCTGCAGGCGGGCAGCCCCGATCCACACTCATCCTCACAAATCAGGCCCTCGGCCTCACTCAGTCATAAAGTATGTTATAGGCGGGCAGCCCCGATCGACACTCATCCTCACCAATCAGGCCCTCAGCCTCACTCGGTCATAAGTAACTCAAGCCTCTCGGGCATTTCAGTAAAACAGGGCATTCGGCCCAAAACATTTATATGCATCCAAGTAGAGTCATAAAACTGAGTTATGCGGTAAACAAGTATAAACATGACCGAGTATATATTTTCAATCGAAAACAATGAGAGGATAGTAAAAAACAACCCCTAAGGGTCCAAACAGCACTGGCGCAAGGCCCAAACATGGCATTCAACCCAATTTACAGAAACTCTTTCTAAAACATATAAGTATCATATAGTTTCCACAAAATATGCAACTTTACAGTTGCTACGAGACGGACCAAGTCACCAATCCCCAATGGTGCACGCCACACGCCCGTCACCTAGCATATGCGTCACCTCAAAGTAGTAAAATGATACGAAATCCAGGGTTCCATACCCTCAGGACTAGATTTACAATCGTTACTTACCTCAAGCCGTGAAATTCTTATTCTGCAATGTCCTTTCCTCGTAAACTAGTCTCCAAATGCCTCGAATCTGGTCATAAATAATTTGTTTCAGTCAATAAAATTCATTGGAATTAATCCCATAAGAAAATAATGATTTTCCATAAAAATTCGAAACTTAGCTCAAAATTTGCTCGTGGGGCCCACCTCTCGGAACTCGACAAAAGTTATAAAATCCGGAAGCCCATTCAACCACTAGCCTAACCATACCAATTTTACCAAAATCTTACCCCAACTCGACCCTCAAATCTTCAATTTAAACCAAGAGGATTTTTAAATTTTCCCAACTCAATTCACCAATTAAATGATAAAAACAATCATGGATTCGGGTAATTTAACTAATATTGAGTTAAGAACACTTACCCCGTTGTTTCTCTGAAAATCACCCAAAATTGCTTCAAATCCTCCAAATTGTCAAAAACTGAAAATGGGAGAACTTAAACTCTCTGCCTAGATATTTGCTCTACGCGATCGCAAACATTCCCGCGCGATCGCGAAGAACAATTTCCATCGCCCAGATTTTACTCTACGCGATCGCGGATTTTTCCACGCGATCGCGATGCACAACATCACACACATACGCGATCGTGGACTAGTCCACGCGATTGCGAAGAACAAAACACGTGACTTCTACTCCGCTCCACTTACTCTACGCGATCGCGACCTTCGTCACGCATTCGCGAGTCACAAAATTCCAGAGCTACGTGATCGCATCACGCTTCACGCGATCGCGAAGCACAAATTGCCACTGCCTCACATTAACCTTACGCGATCGCAGATATCCCCACACGATCGCGTAGAACAAAAATCCTCACTGACCAACTAAGCCTACGCGATCGCAAACGCATTCACGCGATCGCGTAGAAGGAAAACATTATCAGATATCAGAAAATTCCAACAGCTGTTCTAGTCCAAATTTTTGATCCGTTAACTATCCAAAACTCACCCGAGCCCCTCGGGACCTCAATCAAATATAGCAACAAGTCCTAAAATATCATACGGAATTGGTCGAACCCTCAAATCACCTCAAATAACGCTACAACCATGAATTATACCCCAATTCAAGCCTAATGAACTTTGAAATTTCTAATTTCTACAAACGACTTCGGAACCTATCAAATCACGTCCGATTGACCTCAAATTTTGCACACAAGTCATAAATGATATAACAGAGGTATTTCAAGTTTCAGAATCGGATTCCCACCCCGATATCAAAGAGTCAACCCCCCTCCCCCAGTCAAACTTTTCAAAAATTAAACTTTCGGCATTTCAAGCCTAATTCCTCTACGGACTTTCAAATAATATTCTGGACACACTTCTAAGCCCAAAATCACCATACGGAGCTATTGAAATTATCAGAATTCGAATCCAAGATCGTTTACACATAGGTCCATATCCGGTCCACTTTTCTAACTCAATTATTTTTTTAATTATGAGACTAAGTGTCTCATCTCACTCCGAGTTCCTTCCGGACCCGAACCAACTAACCCGATATAATATAATATAGCTAAATAACACAAAAAGAAGTAAAAATGGGGAAAACGAGGCTATAACTCTCGAAACGACCGGCCGGGTCATTACAGACAGATAGCAACTAAGTGCAACAACAAATAGAAAACAAGTACAACATCTTAAGAAAAAAATCACTCACTGGGCTCGCAGCCCTCATCACTCACTCTCAATGGGTACCCGCGCTCACTGGGGGTGTACAGACTCTGGAGTGGCTCCGACAGCTCAAGCACTATAATCTGCACGGACAACTCACGTGCCATAATATAACTATCTGGATCCGCACGGCTAACACATGTATTGCACGGCCAACTCACGTGCTACAGTATAATATAAGGATCCGCACGGCCAACTCATGTGCTACACGGCCAACTCACGTGCTATAGTATAATATAAGAATCTGCACGGCCAACTCACGTGTTGCACGGCCAACGCACGTGCTATAGTATAATATAAGAATCTGCACGACCAACTCACGTGCTGCACGGACAACTCACATGCTATAGTATCAATATCTCACAATCAGGCCCTCNAAATATGTTAATTGCATTATATATAGTGTGTAATCAAATAGCGCAGATAGCTTTTTGACTCCTAATCCATTTCTGCTTTGATTATTGTAATAAGAGATTATGTGTGCGCTATAGCATTCTACTTTGGATTGTGTGTGGATATGACTCTTAGGCTACAGTCTGGTCTGTAATTCATTTGCTACTTTTAGGAAATTTAACCAAATCCAAATGTATAAGGATGTGAGGAAGAATAGCATACAGGTAAACAATTAGTTATATCTTAGTATTGATTCATTAAAGAATCAATGAATGAGCAAAAAAGAACCGAGTGGATGTAAGAAATTCTATCTTTTTACCTTTTCAAAAAAGAAATAAGAAAGAGTAAATATAATAGTAATGCATATGTTAGATCTTTTTCATATTTTTTACTATATTTTATACTTTTAGAAAGAGAAAAATCCAATAGATAACCAAATCAATGCTCTTGCTTCTTACAAAGAGACATGATTGTCCGGCAGATCTTAGACATATGACTAATATTCAGCAGTCTCATTCTTGAGAAAAAGGTAAGCATATTCTAAGTGAAAATTTAAATTGTTTTATCATATTACTTTATCTGCTCTATGAGGCATGATCTAATGATAGAAAGGGGCATAAAGTAAAAATACAGGAGGAACTTAGGAAAATAGAGGATAAGAAAAAGTTCCAGGTATCATTGATGATGGAAATAATGCCTAATCAGCAATATTTGAATACTTGTGCTTCTTGAAAATATATAGGTGCGCAAATGATACTTACATCTGCAATGAGACATAACGAAAACCTGAAATGAAATCTATTAACTTCAAGAAATAAAATTTTATGCAGCAGATAAAGATGGACCGCATAATACTTGAAAAATGACCGAATATAAATAGTAAACAAGCATATAAATGCTTAAAGTTTTCAAGCATGCTTAGCCAATGAAAGTTGATTATTTAAGGAATACTAAAAATTTATATGCTCTTTTAAATATTTTGCAGGAAAATAGACAGAGGACGACGCTAACTGATGCCAATTCTGGAGCATGCCTTTAGTGCTAAATTAGAGTCATTGATGCATATGGTTTCGTGTTGTGCAAATTAAATTGGATATTTGAAAATAACATGGTATAATACTTTGTGTGCTTCCTCTCTTTTTCGACAACATATTTCCTCAAGGAAATCTCTTAGTTTTGACATTCCTATATTACCTTTTGCGTTCTTTTATCTCTTTGTTATATTTGAATTTACGTGGTTTCTTCACTTTTTTTTATTGAATAAAAGGAAAATGTATCAATGTATTTCATATTTCATGAACAAATCTCTAGTATATATATAAATGGTGAAGGGTGTACGAACACCGCATTCTACCATTGTACAAAAGGTTATTTGAGTTGTACGGTAAACTTGGTCTTATTCTATTCTATTGGTGCTTGGGCCTATAAACACGTGTATGTAATTCTCTTTTAGCAGTCCTTTCACCTGCCTTTACCGTGACACCTGTTATAACCTTTTTATCTATGGGAAACAACTGGCTAGAACTTCCTCCATCCCCATTCTTCCTTTTTCAGCATCTATTCCTTCTTCTCTGTTTATCCTTTTCTGATTTCTGTTATTCCATCCAATAAATCTCGAATTCATCAGTTTTTTTTTCATGGTATTTATCTTTCAAAGTATGAGTTCGCTAATCTGCAATGTTTCTTTGGTACTGCACCTTCTTCAGTTCTTTGTTGATAATCGGTATAGGCCTCTTCAACTAGGATGTTCTGCCCTATCATTTCTTCAAACCAGTTCATGAGTCCTTCAAACCCTAATAATTTTTTAAAACGGTATGGTTCTCTCCTTTATTGTTTTTTCTTTTGCTTTTATATGCCCTGTTTTTGCTGTTCTTTCTATGTACTTACAAACTCTTTAAAGAAATCTTGGAAATATGGGTCCCCCAGATGGCACTTGCTTCCGTACTTGCTCTAATGATAGCTTATTTCATTCATTTATTACCTTGTAAGTTCTGTCTGACATTTTGGATTTCTATACATTATTATCACCATATACAACTATTGAAAAAATGATAGTAGTTTCAATCCAGGAAAAAATTTAAAATTTACTATAAATTTTAAGTTTTGAGCTCTTTGTTTCGATGAATTTTTAGTGCAGTCTTTCTTTCGTTATTGGACTTTTTTTGTGCGAAGTTCTTTAGAGATACTCTTGCGCCCCTTGACTCCTTTCGTCCCGCTAAGCTGTCTGAAACTGGTTTAAAGGTAATTTATGATCTGAATATTAAATGAAATGCTTGGATTAGATTTGGTCAATTCTAAATTCTAATAATTTATAAGTTAATTTAACATACATATTTATTAAAGTTAGATCACTACTGTTTATGATATAAGATCCAACATTTTATGGATAGCTATAAAAAATAAATATCTTAAACTGTTTGAACTCACTCATGTTTTAGAATGTCTGGTTTGGGTGCTCCTCTAAGTTGCAGTAAATTTTGGACTGAAGATGCACCAGAAAACAATAAAAGGCCTGTAAGCTTCGGCATTTGTTATGTGCTTTTGTTCCTATTTGTGACACCCTTCACCATTTATATATAGTAGAAATTATCATGTTATGAAGACGAATTTAATGTAAATAATGACAATTTTAACAATATATAAGAATGTAGGTTGTTGAACTAAATATTGCTTTCTTGAATTTGTATATGTAGTTTAAAAGAGGAAACTTTACAAATGGCACACAAATATAGCTTTAATGAACTAATTTATAGTTACCTACCTCATCATACCTCCGAATTACTTAGAAAAAGCTTCCTATGATCCTTTTATTGTGCAGAAAGCACATACCTCTCACTTCTTTTTTATTAGCTCTCACTTCTTTTTTAGTTAATTGATACACGTGCATGAAAAAGTTAGCTTGCTTAAGGGAGTTCAGTAGAATCTCTAAGTTCAGTAGGTTTTATATTTTTTGATACATTTGACTGTTGCAACTGTAAAACTGCAAAGTCAAGGGAGTATTGCAAGTCTTGCCATATAGAAAGTTGACATGAACATCAGAAAATATGATAAAGCATAGCGTGATGCTTTTCCTTTGTTTCGTTTTCCAATAGATGCCTGGTATATTTATGTTTCTGGTCAAGTTTATCGAGCGGGAATCCCCATAACATGCATTAGAGGACGTTGGAGTCCTACATTTTACAATAATTCACCACTTGATGTTAGGAAATGAATACAATTATATCTACGGCTATCATATGCATGTAGTGTGTTTCATCTTTAGTTTGTCGTACGCAAATGGTTTGACAAGATGAATAAACTCTCTTCTTGAAGTGAATCATATTAATCAGATCCAAAAAAGATTGTGTCATAATAAATGGATGAAATTTCTGCTGTATTTAACTAAAATAATGTTTCACTACTGATTTTAGGATAACATGGTGATCATGGACGCACTGAATTTCTGCCAAGAAAAGTTTAACAGGCATCCTATCTTGCAATTTATATTGGTGATGGAATGACGAGGTATACCTTAAGAACGGTGGGAAGATGGTTTAGGGGCCGGGGGCGAGGACGAGGACGGTGCTAGGGCTGGGTATGGGAGTGGTTCGAGGATTACTTTAGAAATCCTTTCTTTTAAACTTCAGTTTATTTTTATTTTTGACAACAGATATTTCATGTTATTTGGGGATGAAAGCTGATGTTTGTAAACTTTATTTTATAAAAAAATTGAACTGTTCTTTTGAATTGGACGGATCATTTGATTGATGCTGCTGTTGTGAATGTAATTTTTATCAAATATTTGCTTGTGTGGTTGGGATGTTGGTTTAATAATTTGACTTTTGGTTAGTAATCTTACTGTGAGAGAAATAGAGGCTAATTAGCCTCTTTGAAGTTCCTCCATAGCACCCTTAAAGGACTTAAAATGTCAAATTTCTACTTCTTCCCTTTATGAATTTGTCATTCCTAAGTAATTACCTAAACATGAAGATGAGTTCCTTTAAAATGTTTGAGATTCAAGATTGAAGAATGTTGTATTGGCTGAGATGCTTGAATATATGACCACGTTGGTTTTAGTTGATCTTAGAAGAATGGATTTACAGAATACTTGGTCTATATGGCCAAGCTGTAGAGTCAAAACTTTATTCGTGAAACAATGTTCATTTGGAGGGCTTTGAGAATTCAGAATAATTTGGATGTGTCTTTCACTATACTCTTTGAAGTAAATTAAATGTCTTGATCCCAGTTTTGCTCTCTCATGCAATTGTGTCCCTGTTGTAATATTAAGATGCAATGATTAATGTTTACACTTTCCTTTTCTGACGTCCATTAATATGCTCACCCAGCCTTTGGTGAGTTCCTTTGCTTAGGACAATGCTAATTACTAGTCAGATGGTCGACTTGGGGCTACTGGTGTTCACTTATGCATGCACAGAATATCATTCCTGTTAATAAATTTCTTGAGAAGAGCTAAGCTACATGTAAGTATGTGAGTTTTGCCTTTTATGAGATAAAAATGTCTATGTAGCCTTTAGCTTTTATTTGTATTGTAGGTTGCTGGTTGAATCAACCAAAATTTCGTTGTGACACACTCATTTCTGGCTACTCATTTTTCAAGGTTCCATTTCATTATCAAACTCTGCTCAACAACAACAACCCAGTATAATCTCACTAGTGGGGTGTCTGGGGAGGATAGTTTGTACGCAGACCTTACCCCTACCCTGGGTAGAGGGGCTGGCTGTTTCCGATAGATCTTCGGCTCCCTCTCTCCAAGAACTTCCCACCTTGCTCTTGGGGTGACTCGAACTCACAACCTCTTGGTTGGAAGTGGAGGGTGCTCACCACTAGAGTAACCAACTCTTGTCTATATTTTAAGTTATTGAATTTTAAATTAATAAAGTATATATATATTCGATGAATTTCTTATGATAAATTCAAGGGTTATAGGAGCCTCCTTTTCTTGAAGAAGAGGTGCATCTCCATTTCCTTCCGCCTTATTTCCATTTCCCCCTTCGGCCTCTCCCGCTTCTTTTGAGAATATCCATGTGAACTCCATCTGACATTAAGCTTTGAGAATGTCTGAATCTGATTTGTTTCCAAATACCTAATATCCAAAAACAGTGGAGTAGAAAATTGAGTAAATTTACAGAGTTTGTAACATTTGAGGCCTTTCAGCTTCTTGCCTTTTTATTATGGTATTGAACATCATCTATGGCGTAGATAACGACAACTTTGTGTTCAGTTCAAATCTTTATACTGCAATTTTATGTACAGTCCAAATCATCATATCTCTAATGTTATGAGAACTTGAGTTGCAATACAAATTTCAATTAAGTGCAGTACTGTTAAGTAATAATACAATTTTATTGCCAATTTAAGTCTGCCAAACTCAGATATTTCCCCGCCAGTGTTACAATCTCTCTAGCAAAGGTTTCACAAATGTCTTCCGGCCCGTGCTGCACCGGCCTCCATTTCTAGTATATATATATATTTGCTTAAATGCAATTATTTATTACTACATGATGAGATCGTTAGCATTCTTTTGGGAAGGTTTTGTGGCTTTGCAACTGGTTTTTTTCGCTTGTTTAAACTCAGGAAGGGAAAAAAAGGAAAAAAGGAAGCATGGGCTTGATTAGGGGTGGCAATTTGAGTCCAAACCCAACCAATTTCTGCACCACCCATACCCTTGCAAAAAAAAATACTTTTTTTTTTTTT